GTCCTGGCAAGCCGGTGGACATGATGATGATGATGATAGTTGTTCAGTGTTCGTAGACAATGCATATGTATTCCAAGTACTCCCTGCATGTACGCATTATTGTAATTCATTTGTATTAAAAGCAGGGTTTTCACATTAATATAGGGGGCATATCTAAATTATTTAGGCTCTTACACTATCTGTTATGTTTGCATATAGGCGGGAAACGGGTATTTAATTTACCTGACCATATTTTACAGGAAATTGACCAGGGCTAGAGCCAAGTAGATCAAGCCTATCTATTATGTTGTAACCCGTTGCACCACTTCGGTATCAGCAGGTTACATGTGACAACTTATGTGAATTTTAGCTCTTAATATTGATTTGTCCAGATTGTATCTGCAGGAGAGGTAGGAAGTAGCCTATAGCAGGTACTGTTGTACTTCCAACAACCCACCCGGTGGTTTGAAGGCATGTTTCTGTATGGTTAACGGCCGATGCGATGTAGATATTATAAATTCTTCCATAGGCAGAAACATGTAAACCATCTAAATATTAAATATAGTAAAGATATTTGTGAAAAAAAGGTGCCCGGGTCAAAAAGCCTAATCCTCTACACCTCAAAACATCACGCTATGAAGAGAGTGTTGTGTCCCAAACTGTGCCCGTCCCATTCCGTGCCTGATCGTGCACAGAACGGGACATAGCCTGACTGTCCAGAACCGTGCCCGGAAGCGCTGTCAATCATAGTGATTGGCGGGAACCTAAGGCTAAGCATAATTATTCACGCCCACGGTTTTCTTATATGGCTAGATTACGTGAGATTTTGCGAGTCTGTGTACAGCATGTGCTTTCAATACGCAGTTTTCTCACAACTTAGTCTTATGTTTGGTCGACATGAACTTAGATAATAATATACAGAGACTAGTTAATACAAGAAAGAAACTCGCTTGGGACACATGTTGAGAACTGTTTGCGGTCAGGCACGGTTCTGGATAGTCCCCCGCGTGTCCCAGAATGTACATTTACCCCAGGCACGGTTCGGGACAATCCGCGTGTCCCGAACTGTGCTCAGTCCCCAGGCACGGTTTGGGACACGCGCCTTGTGTCCCAAACCATGCCCAGACACAACAGAGCATGCTGCTACTATTTAATGTGCTGAAAATCACATCGATCGTTTTATACGACATTGACCGTTAACAAAAATAAGCATATCCGAACAGGTATACATATACTCCCAGGTAGGAGGTACCCAAACAGGTATGTATATACTCCTGTATCCGAGCAGGTAACCACCCGGAACACTAACCATAGGTGCGACAATGGTACAGCCGCTAATACTGGAAATCTCCTACCATGGGAAAATCTATAACCATAATCCATATACCTCTCCCAGGTGTGATTTGCCTGGCCTTTGAGAACATGATTGATCACCTAGACAACATTAGCCATGGGGATTCTAGCCATGTCTACTTCCAGAAACAAAGGCATAATATTGCAGCATAGGACAAAAATTTATAAGCATATCGCTGTTCATGCTTTCCTGAAAATACTATGGAGTATCCTCCCCTAGTTTTCTAACAAAACGCTGTTAAACAGAGGCAAATGATCCAGATAAATGCAGCACAGCGTTCTGCTTGATAGTGTTCTTTCCACACACCCATGGTTTCGAAAGAAACAATTTTGTATTTGAAATTCAAAATATTGACCGTTTTTTCCGTTATTTTGAATTTGGTTTGGAATAGACCGCGATTCATTGCTATCTACGTTAGATAGGCTTAATGGTATTCTTTTGAACTAAAACTGCTACTGATATTATCATTACACAAAACAATATTAAATTTGAGTTGACTTCTAGTATCATGACAAGGACTAACCTAAGACAAAGTTTGTATTTTTACTTTAAGCTATAAATTTTAAGGTTAAGACACATTCATTATTTACTTGGTATTGTATTTAAAGTTATGTATGTAGAGATAAAAAGAACTTTCGGTGAAAGAAAACTTGAATTACTTGCTCAATCACCACCGTATGTTTCCCTACTAAGTTTTCTTCGTAATACTATAAAAAATAGTTAGCCTTTAACAGAAACAAGTTAATTGGTACAATCGGTACGCTAGTTATGTGAGTTAAAAAGTGGCATTTAGTGACAGGCACTTATACTAGATAAACAAAACATTACGACTAGAAACAGGACTTACTATAGTGTAGATGACAGCAATGACTACTTGAGGGAAATACCCGGACGTGTTGCTGACTGCGAATTGCAAAGTATGGGTATTGGCTCACTGCCTTGTAAGCGACAACTGAGATATGTCGGGATATATGCGTATTTATATCAATTTATTGTTACATCCGGGAAGACAGAATCTAGATGGGGTTAACCCACTGTGGCACGCAGCAGATCGTCAAAAACAAATTCAATTTACATGCATGTTTTGAATTACGAACAAGACAAGAGTCTCGATCTGTGTCCGGTGGATTTTTAAACGATGGCGGCATTCTGTTCCACTCAAATCTTAAGTTTGTTATAATGTTTTATAAAATAAAAAATAAAAAAAACTGAGTATATTCTGGGAAATCTGGGCATTGCAAACACGACAACAACATTTGAGGTATATGCAGTGCCAGTATATCCATTCATTTGAACAGGAGAGTCCCTATGAAATTGTTTCTTATTTCTAAGAAAATATTTACCGTTGAGACTAGCTCCACGGAAGCCGCGCGCGGAACCCCGGTAACCTGATACCCTCCCCAAATTGGAAACTTGACCCTAGAATTTGATCGCCGTGATACATGGATATGCACAAATCGCTATTAGGCCACAGCAAGTAATCTTTATGGATGACATCAGCGCTCGCATTAATTTTTGTCTGATTTTGGAAGAAAACAAACAAGAAATTTTGTTGCCTACAGTCGTCAGCAATTGGCAAATATGTCTGTTGCCATGCCGGAAGGAGGATGGCAGATAACTATAAAGAGAGGAAACAAGAAAAGGCTCAGATTTAACCCTCAACAGTACACCTTCCCGGACTGATTAATCTGTACACCTGGGGTCCGCGCGGACCCCAGAACAGTTTTTTGCTAATTTTTAGAAATTATCAACATGCTACCAGCTAAATTGTTTGGCAAACTGATGTGGGAACCTCTGTGTCCACATTACATACAAAAATCATACATTTTGAACTTTTTCTATTCTTTGGTGAAGAAAAGAAGACAAGAAGAAATACCCGATTTTTAAACCCATTTCAGACTGAAGGGGCTTTTGAGGCCCAACTTTGATCTCAGATAGCGGCTAAACGGCTTGCGCTAGAAGTATCAAATTTGGAGACCTGTCCTAAAATGTCTCTGGAAAAAAGTTCATATTAGTTTAATACTAGTAAGTTGATGTTTTTTTGTGTTGCCATGGCAACGGGTTTCTAGCAGGAAGTTTTTTTGAAAATAGAAGTAATTTTGGTTTAAACATAAAAATTTTCTGAGTTTTATATTAAATTACACTTCTTTTCCAACATTAATAACATCTTACATAATTAAATATACGTTAAATCATTTAATATGCATAGAATATGCTAATTTGATGACGTCATTAGTCAAAATCCAATATGGCGGACTATATTATTAGCTCTGACGTCATATGACGTCATAATTACACCAAAGTTATTAAAACTTAATTCTATTACTACACCATTCTCTGAAAACTTGGTAGACATACGATGAGTGCATAAAACATATAAAAACGGAAATAAGGTAATGTAAAAGAACGCCAGTGTATCCATTATGATCAAAAGCCGGCTGGGGTCCGCGCGGACCCCAAAAGAAAATCAGATATAATTTTCTTTATAAATGGTAGAAACGGAGTTTTCTGCACTGTATTGAGAGACAACTTTGTGGGTGACAATTACCTAAAATTTCAGAAAAAAATCTTTAGAAACAAAAAAAAAATATTACTGAATATATAGTGCTGGGTCCGCGCGGACCCCAGGTGTACTGTTTAGGGTTAATGTTTTGTTTCTTACTTACTTTGATGCAGTGATATGTGATGCTGGCTGTGTATCTGTGATGTTCCTACTGAATCAGAACCATTGTACAGTGATTGAGTCAAAATTTTAAAATGTAGGAACCTTGTTTCTTTCGGCCCGCCTTGTTTTTTTTTCGCCCGCTTGCATTAGATTTGGAGTCTGCAGAGGATGTCATCCATAAAATTTACATGCTGTGGCCTTACGTTTATTCATATCGATAATGTACCAAGGTACAAGGAAACGGGTAAAGAGGAAGGAAGGACATAGATTCGTGGCGTTTGTGAAAGAGGGAAAGGCAGAGAAGGGAAGGAAAGGGAAGAGGGCTGGTAAAGATGACAAAGGGATCCTGTTCCCAGCAAACGACTGGGTGATGCGGGTTGATCTAGAAATGAAATTGAAGTTCCCCGAGGTCATCTTGGAAACAAATCTGAGACCAGACATAGTCTTGTGGTCAGAAGAAACGACACAGGTGGTGATGATTGAGCTCACCGTGCCGTGGGAGGATAGATTTGAAGAAGCCCACGACAGGAAAGCAGAGAAGTATAGGGATGGGTGGACGTCGACTGACGATGTTGTGGAGGCTAAGCATGCAGCCAAGCTGTACCAAGTAAACCCTAACGCGCAGAGTACTAAAACGTAATATAACTTTTCCTGTACTGTGTTTTACCGTGCTTGATGCTACACAGTTTCCATGTTTCCCATGTTTCTTGACCCAGGACAGCTTACTGTAGCTAGGCAGGTTTTGGCATGAATATTTTAATTGCTTATGTTGATTTTCTAGTTTGACTTGTATTTCTATAAGACGATACTTCATTCTAGTTGCTATTTTTTTAGTCATCTGAAGATTGTACATCAAGTGAATCTTGTGTGGACGTAGCGGAGAAGACCACAGATGAAACACATGACATTGGGGCCAGTAGTGTTGGCGATTGTTCTGTTGAACTGACGATTTCTGTGATAGCGAGAGGGACGGGCATGGCGATTTGACCACAGTATGGTACAGCAGTACAGATACTTCAAGCAGTGACGACCAGTTTGCTGACATGGGTAGTGATCCTGACCCCAAACTACTCGTTGTACCCCACAGCACACGTGTACATAAAATCAGCAGTGGCACTTTTGGCCGGTTGGTTTGCTTTGTCCGGTCTTTCTGAGAAAAAGCTGGAAGACCTTTTAATTAATTAAAGATCATCAGCTTCCTGTTGCCTTTGCATAACAATATTCCTACGATA